CTCCTCCGTCGGTCTGCGTCCACGGCTGTGGGCCTCAGCCTGCCTCCTCCGTCGGTCTGCGTCCACGGCTGTGGGCCTCAGCCTGCCTCCTCCGTTGGTCTGTGTCCATGCTGTGGGCCTCAGCCTGCCTCCTCTGTCGCAAGCAGCGTTTTTAGGGTCTTATCTGGCTGCCAGCACGGGTGGTTTCTTTCCCAAGCTTTTCTCTTCAGTGTTTCCTGTTTCTTTGTGTGTCTACACCTTTGATGATTGTGTGTGTTGTGGGTCATCTGAATTCCATACACACACACACACACACACACACACACATTTGTGGAGCTTGAACTCTGGGTCTAGGCCCCAGTTTTTCAGTGGTTAATTGGAGATAAGAGTCTCACGGCGGCTGGGGAGGGAGGCTGGAAATGTAGGTAAAGTAGGTAGAGGGCTTGCCTAGCACGCCAAGGCCCTGGGTTTGATTTCTCAGGACCACGTAAACAAAAATAACTAAAACAATTTTTTTTTTTTTTGGTCAGTCGTGGGGCTTGAACTCTGGGGCCTGGGCGCTGTCCCTGTGCTCTTCAACTCAAGACGAGCACTCTATCACTTGAGCTATAGTGCCACTTCCAGTTTTCTAGTGGTTTATTGGAGATAAGAGTCTCACAGATTTTCCTGCCCGGGCTGGCTTTGAACTTCGGTCCTCAGATCTCAGCCTCCTGAGTAGCTAGGATGACAGGCGTGAGCCTGTCTACTAAAACAGTTTTTATTTTTTGGGTCGGGTCGTGGGGCCTGAACTCTGGGCCTGGGCGCTGTCCCTCAGCTCTTCAGCTCAAGGCTAACGCTCTACCACTTGAGCCACAGCGCCACTTCCGGCTTTTTTTTCCTGCTTATGTGGTGCTGAGGAATCGAACCCAGGGCCTCAGGCATGCAAGGCAAGCGCTCTACCACTGAGCCACCTTCCCAGTCCCAGGATTCTGTATTTCTAAAAACAAGTGTTTGTTCATCTTAGTAAGCAGTTTTTGGGATTAGACTGTCCCCTTGGGGAACGGAGTGTCAGCTGATGCTTGGCCCTATCCTGGGCCCTGAACCAGGGTGGACAATATCCTCTCAGAGATGGAGCCTGGCATGCCAGCAGGGGCCACCAAATCGGGGAAGAGAAACTGGTATGAGATCCTGGAACTGAGAAGTGGCGCTGTGGCTCAAGTGGTAGAGTGCTTGCCTTGAGCTGAAGAGCTCTGAGCCCAAGCCCAGAGTTCAAGCCCATTACCGACCAAAAAAAAAAAAGGATCCTGGAATGGGCTTTGGGAAGGGGTGGCTGAGGTGGAGGAGCAGAGCACACAGGAGCTGGCGCCACCCCCCTGGCACCAGAGCCTGGAAATTCACAGACACCCCTCCCCCACCCCGTGTCCTGGGCCTCGCAGGCTGCCTTAGAGCAGGGGTGGTGAGAACCTCCCAGACCTGCTCTTGTCCTCACATCTAGGTGCACGGCGTCCTCTGTGGACGTAGGTTATCTTTATTAGAATCTGCAGAGAGAAGAGCCAGTCCAGGCAGTGCAGATCAAAGGCTGGGAAGAAAGATGCTGTTCCCAGGCTGCGCCACCCCCGGCGGGGGACAGAAGCTCCCAGACAGCGGCCCACCTGGGGTCCTGGCCCACCAATGTGAAGAGGGAGCTGTCCGTGGACCCCAGGGGTTTTTTGTGGCCTGTGGCCTTAAAGATGGGGCAGCGGCCATGTGGGTGGAAGTCTGTGGCAGCACTGATGCAGCAGACAGACCTGGTGCAGCAGAAAGGAGATTCTTCCTGCATACTGCAACCTAGGTGAGCTCCGAGGCCATTGTGCTACACGGAGGAAGCCAGCAATGCGTGGATAAATACCTGTAGTCCCACTTAACTGAGGTCTCTAGAGTCATCCAATCTGCACCGTGGTAGATGCCCCTGTGCCCTCAACATTGTGAAAATGGTCAGCTTTATGTGCACTGTATTTCATGAAAACGGACCAATGCCGTCGGCAGTGCCTGAGGCAGTTTTCAAGCTGCCCCCCCCATCCAAACGCCCCTGCAAGAAGGCTCTCCTTTGTAGACGACCAGGACCCCTTAGAGCACACTTCTCAGCTTGATCCAAAATGATCTCAATCTTCTAGACAAAAGTGGGATGATGCCAACAACATCACAAGTCTCAGTGAGTGGAATCCGCGCCATTCCTGCCACGCCAGATCAGCACAGCAACAAAATAGGGTGCCACCCACAGGGCACCCAGCCGCCAGGCTCAGCCGCGACTCTGAGCTCCTGGTACCCGTGCTGGTGACCTCTCAGATGCTTATATCCAGAAAGCAACTCCCCCCACGGTCAGGGGGGAAGGTCACCAAGCACTTGGGGCGCATGGTTATTTCCCAAGCCACTAGAAGGGGAAGCCCCCAGCCCTCACACCAGGTCACTGGGATCACCCGAGAACACAGTGGCCTTACCTTCTCTCAGGCTCACCTGCTCCTCTGTGTGAGCAGAAGACCAGCCCTGCTGCAGCTGCCAGAGCAGACACCGGCCTGGCACAGAGAGACCACAAGGTGGCCCGCGGCCCCACGCCGCGTCTGCGCTCATCCTGTGTGACAGCCGAGCGCGCACAGCCACGCCAGCACACACACCCCAGGGGCTCCTGCCACCTCCAAGGCTGGCCGTGCCACGGATGGCAGCTTCCCCGGGTTCTGCCCCAGGAGGCTGCCAAGTGTGCTGCTGACCCTCCGAGCACCTGTGGTCTGCTTGAGATCTGCAGGTGGACGCGTGGTTCAGGGCCACGGCTCCGTCCCTGCCTCCGTCCCTCCATCCTGTGGCTTCTCCAACAGACACGCGCCGGCCCTTGCTTGCTACTTTTCTTTTTGTGTGAGTTTACACTGGGGATGAAAACCAGCCTTGCAGATGATAGGCAGGCGCTCTACCACTTTAGCTAGGAACACGGGGCCGGAAGGTGCTCAGCTGCTCAGCGAGGCCCTGGGTTCGATTCCTCAGCACCACAGAAGCAGAAAAAGCCCAAAGTGGCGCTGTGGCTCAAGTGGTAGAGTGCTAGCCTCGAGCTGAAGAGCTGAGGGACAGCACCCAGGCCCAGAGTTCAGACCCCAGGACCGGAGAGAGA